AGATACGGGACATGGTGAAGGGATTGATGAGACAGGTTACAGAGATTGTGACCACTACAGGGGCCACAGCCTACCGGGACAAACCTGGAGGGCCCTATTCACTTCGTTGGGACCGTAGGAACAACGATTCCTGGAGGAGTTTCGAGGATAAAAATCCTCGGACGCTGACTGATTATCGAACGAGGGGAAGAGAGAGAGTCGATGAGCCATAGCGACGTAGGGATGATGAGATAGACCGAGACCGCAGAGATCGCGAGCCGTTTGCGCGAGCAAGGAGGCTGGATGATTACCCGCAAAGCCCTCGCTATGAGGCCGATCGGGGTAATGTGACTCCCGCGGCCGATGGGAGACAGATCAGGGCCGACGAGATGGATATAGGGACGACAGATACGAGAGATCGGACCGAGATGGATATAGGGACGACAAATATGAGAGATCGGACCGAGATGGATATAGGGACGACAGATACGAGAGATCGGACCGAGACGGATATAGGGACGACAGATACGAGAGATCGGACCGAGATGGATATAGGGACGACAGATACGAGAGATCGGACCGAGACGGATATAGGGACGACAGATACGAGAGGTCGGGTCGAGATGGCTACAGAGGTGGTAGGTATGAAAGAGGAGATCGGGACTGGGAACGACGAGATGGGTCGCGCGGACGGTTTGAGCGCGGGGGAGATGCGAGAGAGCAGCGCGACGAGTCGCGCGGGTGGTACAACCGAGGGGATCGACGCGATGAGTCACGAGGGCGATATGACTCGGGGGACCGCCGGAATGATTCGCGAGGGCGGTATGAGCAAGGAGGGTCTGGAGGACACCGCCGCAACGATTCGCGCAGTCGGAATGAGAGAGGGGGATATGGCGTCTCATCAGAACCATACCCACAAGGCAGCCAGGAGTTCGATCTCTAGAAGCGCAGACGACAGACCATCTACTCCCAGGAACTCATGCGTCTACTGTAGAGGAGAAGATCATATCAAGAGGGATTGCCCGGACCTCAAACGGGCAATAGATGAGGGACTTGTCGTGCTTGACGACCGCAAGTACGTCAAGTGGGCAGATGGTCTGGGAGATGTATCAATGTTCCCTTCGATGAAGGAGAATGTCGAAGCAAGGAGAGTAAAGCCGTGTAAAGAAAAGGAGCCGGTCAGGAGCTAGAGCATCAAGATAACCTTTGAGGGGGATATGACGACCACACCCATAAGGGTGGCAGCCACCAAGTCGGCGAGAGGGTCTACATCGAAGAAGACTGACATGGATTACGTGATGACGGAGAAGGACGGGCAGCGGGTCGATGGAGAGGAGGTTATCCATTCGCCGCGAAAGAGGGGAGTGAAGAAGTTCTTAATTAAGAGTTCGCTGGACGAAATTGACACGGTCGAGCCACTGAGGCAAGCCCTTCAGTAACCCATGCAGTGCTCTATTCTGGAGTACCTGGTGGCATCGAAGCCGGCTCGTGACGAGTTACAGATGATCACGTGGAAGACTCGCATACCTCTATCGGAGGAGGGTCAGGGGGGCCCTAAGGCGGAAGCTTCTATAGTAGCAGTAACGGGGGTGACTGCCAGAGCGGATCGCATGGCGACAGTCCTTCTCGATGGAATGAAAGGTGTGCCTCCAGACAAGTTTTATATACTTGGTAGCGGGGCCGTGGAGACGATTATAAACGATGGAGCGGTACTCGAAGCGGTGATCGATAACGGCAGTGAGGCTGTCATCATAGACGAGGACTTGACAGTACAGGTTGGACTAGGCCTCAATATGTCATACCTATTCGAGATAGAGACGGTTGATGGGAGAAAGCAACAGATCACTGAGGTTTGTCACAAGGCAGCCATAGAGGTCCAAGGGGTACGAGTGACCCTGCCTGTCTTTGCAGTCAAGAACTGCAGCTCCGACCTGCTCTTGGGTCGAACGTGGCTGAACC